GGGTGATGAGCGGCTTTAGATGGTGGTTGTTTTGAAGAGGTCCTCAATCGTCCAAACTAGTCGTGTGCGTCTCTCGCTCTATTCTCTTATGATGATATGGGCACATGGAACCTCTCGAGACTCTGCATTATGCTAACGAACCTGGACTGTATGGGAGTCATGGTATATTCCTTGTTCTGAATACTGCCGGATTTTCTGCACCAGCCGTAGTACAGGGTCCGACGAATTCGACAAAAACGTTGGGATGTTCTACTGAAGATGCAACGAGAATCCAATGTTGCTACTGTGTCGGAGTTTCAGATCATACGGGACCTAGCAAACATCCTAAGCAGTAAGATCCGTCTCATGAGCACCTCGGGATAAAGGAGGCCCGCCGTTCCCAAAAGACCCCTTTGCAGCTCTTAAACAAAAAAAGCCCTAAACCCTAAACCCTAAATAAACCCTAAACCCGCCTCACCGTACTTCTTCTTCAGCAGCCGGACCATGGTAGGAAAGTCCTGACCCCCCACCCCTCTCGCCCGACGGTTCAAGGTTAAGGGTTACGGGCTTCACGGACTTAGGGTTAATAGTTTAGGTTCGGAGTAGAGGGTATTGAAGTGCCCGCAGGCATCGGGCTCCACAGCCCATCAAACTATACTCATGACCACAAGAACATCCTTGATTAGACCAAGGTTTCGGTGGAACATATACAATGGTGGCCCTCATTGCCTTCGGGGGCTGCTTCATCTTTATGGACATTCTCTTCGGCGACATCCACACGGACTTTGACAGCCTGGAAAGACGTGTCAAACAAGTTGCCTCCCATTTCCTCGACCCTTTTTGCATCAAGATCTGGCATTCCGTGTTGGATCTTGTCGCCGTGATGGCGGCCGAGGGGATCAGGAGGAGAGGGTATGAGGAAGCTTAAGCCAGCAGCAAACGTCCACAAGCCAATTTAGAGTGACGGCATTAAGCTTCATCGGGGCTGATAACGGACAAGCATTGCTAGCCACTGGGGCACGTACCGAGTGTCAGGGTTCCGAAGGCTTCGGGCGTAGGAGAGAAGGAGAAAGGGTGGCCAGACAGTCTTTTGTCGGTTTTTGCTATCATTCGGCTCCTCCATCGAGTCCTAGATGCTGCCTAGCCACTCGGCAGTTGAGCTTCGCTACCTGGTCTACCAGCTTGAGGACCTCTCATCCCTGAATCAGATGATGGCAGCGATAGTCTATGAAGGATAAACTCTAAAAGAACCCCCTTAAATCCCAAGCCGAGCACTAAGCCGCAAAGCCGAGAAGCCCTAAACCCCCGATCTCCAACCCTCCTGGAACCCCAGAGAACGCTAAGACGGAACCCTTCACAGGAATCCTAAGACATCCAAGGAACCATAACAAACCCGACGGCTAGCCGGCCTAGCCTTCTGTCTCCTTCGGCCCTTCAAAAGAAGCCTCAAAGGACCCTGAACCCTTCATCCAACAAAGGACCCTGCGAGCCTTAAAGCCTCGGCACCCTTGCAGAATCCTGAGCGGAACCCCGAAAAGGACTCCAACACCTAAACCCTAAACCCTAAACCCCCAAACCCCTAAACCCGAAACCCTAATCCTTAAACCCTAAACCCTAAAACCCCTGAGAGCCTAAGCCCGAAACCCTTAGAACCCCTAAGCACCTTGAACCCTCAGACTCCTAGAACCCTAAACCCTGCGAACCCTAAGCCCTTAGAGCCCTAAACCCTAATCCCCAAACCCTAAGCGCTACACCCTAAACC